GCTCACTTAGAAAAAAATTCCTAAATCTGTCATTGTTGTCAAGCGAATCCCTTGTAATATAAACTATATGCTTATGCGACCAAAAAAAAAAAAGAAAAAAGAACCATATTGTTATGTGTGAAAAACTTGTACATCTTGTCTAAGTTGGTAGGCTTTTAATAAATTATGCAGATGAATTTAAAACCCCCCACACAAGTAGGATATGAGTAATAATATATTTCTCATACTTGCTGATAAATTTAAAACGCGCCAACAGGTATGATGTGAGTAATAATATATTTCTCATACTTGCTCTTCATATTTTAGCCCACCAAACTAGAATGTGTGACGTTTGCCACATTCTCTTGCATATTTACTTCTTACAACTATTTTGTTTTTATATTTTGTGTTCGTGATGGTGAAAAACGCATAGGAGAAAATTAGAGATAAGGGAGAATATGTATGAATGACGGCGAGACAAAAAGACAAAAAAATAATAACTACAAATTGAAAAATTAGGTTATTTTCACTTCTAAATTTTTGTTTTCGTTCATACTTCATCACCTTTCTCACATCACCCTTCTTCATCCATTCTTATCTTGAAGAACACTATTAAAATAAAAAACTTATTTTTAGTTACGTCTCCTGAAACTCCATTTTGATCTCATTTTGACCTTTATAACTCAAAAGTCACCACTTTACTATCTGAAACTCAAAATTTGTTCCACTTTGACTTGTAGACTCTTTATTCTCCCTATAATTTATATGTTGCTTTCTAAAACAAATGTAAGACCCAACACCCAATAAGATTATGCCACATGTGCAATAAATTTGATTATAAATCTTCATTATACGTTAACATTCAAAAATCAGAAAATATTTAGTTTAAAAGAAATTAAAGAGATGAAAAAAATAAAACAAAAGTTGATTAGCATGACGCACCCAAATCAAGTTCGTATAAGAAATTAATAGATCTAAGACATATGAAGCAATAAAATAATAACTTTTGAGTTATATAGAACAAAATAAAACTAAAATTAAGTATTAAGGGACGTAGCTAAACATAAGCTAAATAAAAAAACTAAAAACTAAAAGAGGCCTTAAAATACGAGACTCGTGGTGAACACCCCTTCTGGGCTGGCAATTAAGTTGGGCCTGTCAGAAACCCATATATTCCTGACAAACACCTGATTTTTTTTTTTTGGGTGGGGGGAGAGGGGGAGAGAGAGAGAGAGAGAGAGAGTGTGTGTTTGTTTTCCATTTCACTTTGACAAGACGAAGACAAGACAAAAAAATAAAAAATCAGAATAAGAAAAGCCACTTTCCAATTTCTAGGGTTTTACAGAGAGAAACGGGAGAGTGGGAAAGCAATCAAATTCAACAAAGCTAGGGTTTCACAGAGAGAGAGAGAGAGAGAGAGAGAGAGAGAGAGAGTCAATGGACGGTCTTCGTCCCAGAAACAGAGAGATTTTCATCGGCTTTACGAAGGCCGAGGTAATGGATGCAAATTCTCCTCCTTTTTCCCTAATTTCTCTTAAATTTGATTTATTTTTGGTTAAATTCAATTGGGTATTGCTTGGTTATTGTGATTTTATTGATAATATAAGTGTGGATTTTGATGTTAGCCAAAGCTTCTGAGGTGTTCTTTTGAAAATATAGCACGCTTAATGTGATTAAGACTGCATTAGTGTTCGTTTAGCATTTTGAATTCGTAATTTGGGGATTATCTGATGAACTTACTTTGGTTTTTCGGTTTTTGTGATTGCGACTAGACTGAAAAAATGGAGAGATTGACGAGGGAATTAGGAGAACAGGTGCTGGAACGAGAGTTCTGTCAAAGTACTGCAAAAAGTTTTAAGTGAGTTTAATTTCATGCTTAGACTTTCATATCATACTGATTACTACTTTTCGAGTAATAGTTGGTCTAACTCCTACTTTGGTTTGTTATTTGTATTCAGTCGCTCCGCTGGTCGTGCTGGGAAACCTATCGTAAAATGGACCGAGGTTAAACATATTTATCTCTTTTTTTGCCTTTCATTTGATTCCATCTGTAGTTGCTGTTGTTTTTTACCATAAGGTGGCCTTGATCAATCATTTCTAAAACGCCCATTGTTGCAATTCTCTTAGGTGCAAAGTTGGTTCGAGAATAGGGTGAAAGAATCATCAAACATATCCAGAAATCTCTCTGAGGAACAGGGACATTGCCCTTCAAATAAGGCACGCAAAAGTTCTCAAAAACCTAAAGGTGCTTCTCACAAGTGCTTGTTGCTTTTATGTCTAGGCTCTAGTACTATGCAAGCTTGTAAGGCTTTTGAAAACTGGTTAGATCTGATTGTTGTACGGTGAACTCATTTCATTATATGCAAAATTAGAAAAATAGTGAACGACCAGCCAACCGAGATTATTGAACTTTTTGAACTGTGCCACTAGTTATATACCGTTGTTTAGAATTTTTTCTTTCTGTTATCAACCAGCCACTAAATGTCATATATAAGAAGTTATTTGAACTGTTTGTCTTTTACATAATATCATTTGTAAATAATTGACAAATGTCCATTTAAAAGCAGAAGAAGAGATCCCAGATGTATCAGAGTTGGAATTTGAGGCAAGGTCGTCAAAAGATGGGGCATGGTTAGTACAAACAAGGATGACTTTGTCATTGAATTTCTTGGTCCCCTTACGTTTTTTCATGTTGGATGCTTCAGTTTGTTGTTATTGCTTCTATAACTTTTATCTTGTTGGTTATTGGCATCTTTTGTTCCAAAACCTTGTGCCTAATTTGGCATGCTTAGAAAACTTGCCATTTGTTACAAATCATGGGAAGATTGATATGGGGCATTTGATTAAGGCTGTATGGAATAAATGATCATGCGCACCTTGGTACAGGTTTAATGCCTTGAAGTCCCTTCAGCAACTGCATTATTAAGGCAACAGATAGTACAAAGTTTGAAAATATAATGAAGACTTAAGTATAGTTTCAATGCCCCCGATCCCTTTGACTTCAGTATAGCTTCACCTCAAAAGTCCTTTTTCTAGTGTAAAATAGCTATCCAAACGTAATTCTTTCTGAAGTTTCATCTCTCGTTGGTAATACTATATCTGTACGCTTTAATTGAATGTGAACCTCAACATGGCATGTTTTGATCATGAGATGCTTTCTATCCTTTTCCTCCAACCCCCTCAGTCCTTCTCTCTCTGAATCTCTTATATTACTTTGCCGCAGGTATGATGTTGAAAAGTTCCTTGCTCACAGATTCCCTAGTACGGGGGAAACTGTAAGTATTTAAGTCATAACTTATTGCTCTATTCATGTATATACTGCTGATTGCTTCCGATTTACATGTTTGTCTGAATTTTGAGTACAACATACATTCATAAATTCATTAAGCGACTTTTGTCATTTATTAAAGGAAGTTCGTGTCAAATTTGTTGGATTTGGAGCCGAAGAGGATGAGTGGGTTAATGTAAAAAAAGCCGTGCGGGAGCGCTCAGTGCCACTGGAGCATTCAGAATGTCATACATTGAAGGTTGGAGATCATGTCCTCTGCTTCCTGGTAAATTTCAAAAATCTATTTTGGTAATAACCTTACCGTCATATCTTTCAAGTTGGTAGGCTTTTACATTTTGGTGGCTTGGTTATTATTAGGAGAGGAGAGATCAAGCAATCTACTACGATGCCCATATTACAGATATTCAAAGGAAAATGCACGATGTAAGGGGCTGCAGGTGTCTTTTCTCAATCCGCTATAATCACGACAACAGCGAGGCAAGTATTGCTAATGTTTTTCCTTTTTCAATTCAGTCTTAAGATATATAACCGTGATCTGATGATGCTTAATATCATCCAGGAACGAGTTCGTTTGAGGAGATTGTGTCGTCGGCCAAAACATTAGATGTTTCATGCATTGTCCAAGTTTTTCACTTAACGCCAGCTCAATTTTGTCAAGCTTTTTTGTACTCGAGCTGTGCGAGGGCATGAACGGGGCATGGGCACTTAGCAAGAGAGACAATGCATACTGGGTAGTCGATATATGGCAGTCTGTTGCTTGTGGATTTGATGGATCACCAGAACCCATTAATGTACAGGGGAGTCGATGTTTGCGAGTCTCCGAGGTTGTGGCTTTGATGGATCACTGTAACCCTTTGGTAATCTAGGGTTCTACCATATGTACGAATACGGGTATAGAAAGGGGGGTCAATTCGTGACGTACATTTTTGGGTGCTGTGTGAGAAAATGGGTGTGGTAACACATTGTAGTGTAAATCCCAAGTTCTGTTATTGTTTCTATGCAATTGGAAAACCATCCGACTTGTGCTCTTTGAGAGTGTTGTCTGTTGAGATTCATTACATCTTTTGCCATTTGGAAGTCGTCTGATCATTTATTATAAGTTTCATAAGTGACTGACTTTCAAGACATACCGAGTTTTTCTACTTGGAAGAACGAAAATAATTCTGATGCGGGTTCGATCTCCCACCGCAATTCTCCCTTAACAACTGTTTGTCTTACTAACGCCATTGCTCGACTCAAAACACTGAATAGGCTATCGGCGCCCGGAACGGATTTCTAGCAACAAGACCATCACTGGAATGTCCTGCGCGGAGGATTGTTTTAAGGTCGGTTATGTTGAAAATGCGACCATTAACTTTTCAAGAGCCATCTCGTACCGCAGTCTAGTGGTATTCATCTTTACTTATAAGCGAGAGATCTTTGATTAGATTTTCGCCAAAGGTGAAATTGAAACACATTATTTTGCATGAAGTTTAGATTCTAGAAAGGTGTGTGGCGTCGAAAATTACTATAAACCATATGGTTGCGGTTCAATAGTTCCTTCTAAACCACTCCTTTTCTTTGCAGTTAAGGATGGCAGTGGAACGAAAATGTCATGACCATCCAAGTTATCATATAGGGAAAGCTTAGTTTTCGTAAACCGTCATTCCGAGCACACAAGCATACGATGTATAAGTCAGTTTCTCTAGTTCCGCTATGAGCTCTAGGCGTGCGACATGTTCGGAAGAGGGGGGAAGTAAAGAGTTCATGTATTTCAAACGACGATAGCAACCACTGAAATCCTTCACTTTGACATTGTTTAAATCTGATTAAATTTGACAATAGTTTTTAAACAAAACCGATCCCTTGCAACCTAGATGCCTCGAGTTCATCATCGATTCGTCTCCTGAAAATTCCAAATCATGACCTCGCGGAAATTGGCACAATCAGTCCCATCAGTTCAATCCGGAAAAATCAGCACAGCAATGCCGTGCTTTGGGCTAAGATCGCTTCACATCTGCAGCTGAAAAAGAAACCAAATGCTTGGAGTTGAGAGGGAGGCTTGCATGCAAATTTTCCCATCAGTTCAATCTTAACCGTTCATTTCTTGTATGAGTGAACCACATTTTTCTTATAGACTCGTATGCACATTGGAAATAATAGCACATATGAATTATCAACAAGATGCATTGTTTTTTTGGTCGAAAAAATGACCAATGCTTTTCGGCATAAGCAAACGCATAGTCATGGGTGCAGCATTCAATTTTCTGGCTCTTAATCTGTTCTCTTACGTTTAACTACTTTCCTTCTAGAACCCACCATTATTAAGTTTCCTACGACGTACCATTTAACCAACTTACAGGCTCATTTATGCAAGTAAACTAGAAATGCATCAAAAAGATGTTCATACAAGATAAAAAGCAGTATGCCATTGAAGTTTAACAACAGTTACCAGGGCAGGTCTGTTGGGATGTTATTTAAAGAAAAATGGCTTACCTTGTGTTTGAAAACTCGCACTTCCTCCAATAGCAGCATCATGGATGGATATGCATGAACCACAAAGTCTCGCAAGCAGCTCACCTTATATCTATTAGAAACACAAAGACAACTATTTACATCAAATAAAACAATTACAAAAGTAAAATAAAGGGGACAAGTGAAGAGAATCCTTGCTAACTTGAGTACACACAAACAACTAAGTGCTGTCTAACAAATTATGAATGCCAATTGATAGCGAGACATTATAGCTACAAAATCAGACACGGGAAATCATAATATAAACTGCAAGAGAGAAATTTGCACAAAATCTGACATACAACTTACCAATGGGAAAGATGGGTTCTTTATCGGCATCATAGGTCTTACTTCATACATTGGTGCAATATAACCTTCCCTACTGCAGTTCTGCTTCAAAGACCTTGACCAAAATTATCTACTATTTAACCTGTAATACCCATTTATTCACTGGAAATCTAGCATAGTCATGTTGCACAACTTCTATGTGTAATGTACTGATAAGAGGTCAGGATACACAATCAGTGGTTATAAATCAAAGGATACAAGCATTTGGAAAGTGATTAAGATTAACCAAAAACTAAGATGACTAAGAAACCATTACACACTGATGCTTTGTAAGTATACAACTACTTTCTGTTTAACGGTCAAATTGGGACATCTCATCTTAAAGTCCACACAGAAGCTCACCCCCTCAAAAGAAAAGGGGGAATAAAAAAAAACCAAGTACATACTGAAGGGCTGAGAACATCAAAAACCACAGCTAGTCATAGCTGCACATTCCCAAATTCTATCAATAATCAAAACATGGCTTGTGCACATGCCTTCACCGAAGGAATTATTGCTTTGGCAATGCACAAACTTTTTCACAATGGGAGGGAATAAACAACTTCCCAGTGAGATATATAATAAGCTCAAAAGATTGAAAGACAACAGATGCTATGTTATGGTGGCAATAAAGAAGAGTTTAGCGTACATCAACTCCCAAATGCCAAGACCAATCAATTTCCCGTGAGAGGATCTTTTGCTCTTGAACAGGCACTAAATGGTAAACGCTGGCTTGTTGTTCATAAAGGTAAATTATCAGAATTCCATCCGTGGCATCTCAACATAAGCTTGGCTGTTCATGAGACAGTTCTACCGTAGCAAATAGATGCAATATAAAGGTTCTTTCCCCATTTCTCCTGCAAATTTGCCACATAGAAACTTGAGCTTTCAGAAACAAGAATGAATAGGAAAAGGCAAGTACAAAGAAAATGATTAGTCAAATATTCCACCTTAACGTGTGTACTAGGAAAAGCAGAAGTCCGAAGCGTCTCTTGAGTTTCATCTGCCAGTTTTCTCCTTGGAACACTAAGGACAAAAGCTGCCTGATCCCAAGTTGCTGCAGTTGACGTGATGCGGTAACCATTATCCCACCTTCGATGAATGCCTTCGCTTGGATACAGAAAATCTAGTTCCACAACCTGAAATAGTTCACGTCAAGGGAGGCAAAACACAATATGAGATGATTTTTCTCCAACACCAAAAGGGTACATCAATAGAGCTGATATCTGCAAATCCCAATAAAACCTGGTCAGAAAATCCGGCACCGCGGGACATAACAATAGCCCATCTACTCCTAGCAGTTGCCATTGCAGTAACATGAAATCCTTCCCGCCATTTCTTATTAATCCACTTGAAAGGAAATGAATCGCTGACTTTATAGGACTGCTGTAAGTATTGGGTCCCTTTATGAAGCAAAAGAGGACTAGTTAGACAACTAGATTGGCAATGTAACTGTACAGAATCAATGATGCACAATTACATTGGCAAGGTAGATATACAGAATCACAGATGCTTAGACTAACCTTTAGACATTACAACTAAAGAGCTTCCATTGTTTGCTCCTGCTATCGCGCTGATATAGTAATTCTTGTCCCACTGCTCCATAATCCATTCCTTCAAAACAGAGATAAATAGTATGATTGATGTGTTCATTTAAACAAGAAATAGTCATAATCCTCCCCCATGTACCGTAATCTAAAAGAGAAAAAAATCCACGCAAATAAACAACGATGCTTGTGCAAACTAAGTTTCAACGTCAGTGGACAGCTCTTCTTGATATAATGGATCACAAACCTTATGCAGAAAATATGAAGAGAGTTCATAAACTTGGGCACTGAAGCCAGTGCCAGCATCCATGATTAGAGCCCAAAGATTTGAACTGGAAGCCACACTGCTAATAAATAACCCATCTTCATTTCCTTTCTCAATGTGTTGGGAGAGCCTCACATCTGCAACATTATAGTGATATCTACAACAAATGAAAACATAAACTTAGTTCACTGATGGGTCAAACTTGAACTAAATTTATACATTTAGTGTATAAACGTAAGGATATACCTTTGCTTCATAGGCCTATGAGCATTGTATACACTAATCCATTGGGTTGCAGGCATCCCCATACGAATCTTCTTCTTTGGTTGCTCATCATCCTCTTCCTCCAAGGCCAATCTTGCTCTCTTTTGTCCAACTTGGCATATAAGCTTTCCAATGCAAGAGATATAAGTTAGATGAACTCCAAAGGAAGACCTATAACTAACATCCATAAAATATAGTCTACATAGATGCAAGACATTCAAAGTACCTTCTGAGCACCATCAGTATTTATTGGCCTGACATCTGGGTTTGGGCCAACAATTCCATCAAAAAGGGATATGTACTTTGCATAGTTTGGTTCTTCATCAAACTTCAAATTCACCACATACTCAACAAATTGTCGGAATGGCTGAGGGGAGAAGCAACACAAAGTTTCTGGGGAAGTGGCCATCTTTTTCTTGCAGACAAGAAATCCTTTATTTTCTCCCTAAAAAAATATTGTGATTTTGTGTTAAGAGTGGTATACATAATTAGATACAAGCCTACACAAATTTTTTAAATTATGAACCTGATATCCTTGCCATGGCAACCGACCACGAAGAAGAAATATCAGTGTGTAAGCTAGAGATTCCAAGTCATCCCTCCTGCTACCAGTTCTACCAAGATGAGCATGCACACTTGCATACCGCACCGTTCCCCTGCAGCACATTAACGATCAGTATACCAATGAGTAAAATCATTTTGTTTTTTTGGATTACATGCAAAGATCGTCATAGTTACGGTCAAATAATTAACCAATGTTTATTTCACCTGAAAACATCTGGACGTTGATCATAGTCAACATGCAGGCCAGTCGAATCTCGCCACCTGGTGGCTGTCATGTAAAAACAGGTAGTGAGATGACAAGGCATTTGGTAAATTACCCTGACAAGTAATTTCAGCTGTAAGTAAGGAGATTCTATAACAATGACTTACCTAATCCAAGGTCAACAAGAAAAAGCTTCTTATCCTCGACAGTTCCAGGGGGGCCAAGCAAAAAGTTCTCAGGTTTTACATCCCCATGTACATATCTGCCATCAACATCATCAGAGAGGTTATAAAACCAGGTAAATTGCCATTAATAATTATACTGACAGAAATTCTGAAACAAAATTATCACCCTCTGGAGTGCATCTTCTCCAATATGGATATTGCCTCAATGGCAATACATGCAACCATTTCAATTGACATCCTGAAATTTAAAAGGTAGGAATGTCAGATAGGCAGACAATGTTAAGTGTTGCAAGCAAATAATAAGGTGAAAAATGAAAATCTATTTCTTTATAAAGACAGGGTTAACTCTTTTCAATATAAAGACAGGAAAAACTTACGTGTGTGAGCTGTTATTCCAGACATCCCACAAACTAGGTCCGAGCATATCCATCACCTGTATACAGAGTAGGGTTGATTTATAATTCTGAAACTAGGGTAATTAGAAACTACATTTACCAAACAACTCATACCATGATATAGAAGTCAGCTTGCCGACCCTTATAGTGAACTCTTGGCACCCCATGACTACCGCCAAGTGCACTGTGTAGACATAAGATAAAGTGAGAGTCAAAATACAAGATGGCAGGTGAGAAAGTGATATCTATTCAACAAACATATCACAAGAGAAGACAGAAGCCTCTTACTTGTAAATCTGCCATTCGTAAGGTGGGCCATAATTACATCCTTTGCTACTTCTATGCTCAAATTTCAATGCAACCTAGATGAAACAGATATGTTAATACAAATCCGACAGAACACTTGTTTCTTGTTTTTTCTTTCCAGAAAACAGATTATGCAATGATGTTAAGCCATAAGAAAAGATGATTGCACACCTCAACAGCTCCAGGACCAGCCCCCATGCGTCGACCAACATATACTTGACCAAAGCCTCCTTTCCCCAATTTCTTCTCTATTTTGTACACTGGGGAACCACCAACCTGGACCTGTTGTCAATAAATCAAGAATGAGCAAAATTTTCAAAGAATACGACGAAATGCTAATCAAATAGTTCACACCTGACGGCGTGACACACACGTTATTAAGAAGAAAACTGCACTTTCCTGCCACGCCTCCCACTCACAAAGAGTTCACTGCCCATTTAAGTAAATGAAAAACAACAACACATTCTCCCCATCCCAACTGGAAGTAAGAACACGAGAAAACGCAGAATGCAGGACTTTCAAGACCTTCCTCAAAGTTAGTAGATTATGAATAAACAATAACATTACTATAAAACAAAATTTTTAAAATTTTCTTCAACCTCATATTCTATAATTTAAAAATGGAACTAAAGACTGAGACTTTGAATGGAACAAACAAAATACACAAAAAGTTTCTCCCTTTTTCACCTTCTTCATCCCACACATCATCCAAACAAAAACCCAATATCGAAAAATAAATTAATTTTTCCAAAAAAATAAAGTGAAATGGAATGCCCGCGGTGAAAAAAGAAAAAGAAAAAAAGAGAGTGACCTTCTCGGGAATGGGAGCTGCGCCCTCGTCGTCAGCTGCAAGGCCCTTATCGCCACTGTGACCGCCACTATCGTACTCGTCCATTGCTCTCTCACTTGCCTCCTCCTCTATGTCTTCCTTAAACGACCTCGTTTCAATCACCGGACCGCCCTCGGCCCACCTCCGCTTGCGGGCAACAGCTGCCTTCTTTTGTTTTTGATTATTATTCTTTTTCTGCTTCTGATTATTATTACTATTCTTCTTGTTCCGCCGAGTCCGTACAGTCGCCTTCCGAGGCTGGGTCTTGGTGATCGGGTCTGGGTTTCTGCGTGGACGCAGCTCAGGCATGGTAAGATCGGTGGCGGTGGTCCATGAAGAGCGAGAAGCGCGCCTTATCGGGAAGATTCATGAAGCTTGTAGAACCATCGGCGGATGAAATCGATCAGTGTGGATGCTGAGAGAGAGGGAGAGAGAGAGAGAGAGAGAGAGCGAAACAGATGGTGTAGAGAGAGAAAATTAGGGTTTGGAGAAGGGAATTTTGGGATCTGTGGAGGGAAATCAAATGGAAAAGGAGGAAGGAGAAGAAGGGGATTCTGGATTTTTCAGAGCGCAGAGAAAGAGACAGAGAAAATATGAACAGATGGAGAGGTAAATTTGTAAATTTGTTTATATTTTTTTGAATTTTTTTGTTAATATTATTAATATATTATGACTGTGAGCTTAATTAGTTGAGATTTTGTAACTAAAAAATGGTGATCAACTAACTTTTTTTTATTTTTTGGATAAAAATTGGAACGAGGTTCTTTTTAAGATTCTCTTTATAATGATTTTAAAGATGCTTCAATCATATTCATCTATCATACATCGTATGGTCATAAATTATTATAAATTTTTTTATTTAAATTTGAATATAAACAATACTTCATGAAAACTGACCGCATAATGTATGATAAACAAACGTGATTGAAGGGTTTCTAGAATCTGCACAACGAGGATCCGAAGAGGATGCTCATATTCATTTGGGTTTATATTTTATTTTTTGGATAATGTTAATATATCAAGGAAAATTACAATTTAAAATTGCATAACAAATTGCAGAGGGATCACGTGCTCCACTTTCCAGAAGGTGTAACGGACTCTTTCATTTTTGGAAAATTAAATGTGACCAAAAGTTTGAACTTACAATATAATATCAATCATATGATCTTAATTTTCTTAAGAAAACTAAGGTTCGACAAACAAACTGAAAAGCTGAAAACCAACCAAACAAAACCGGTTTTGATTTATTTTTTGTCATTTCGGTTTATAAAAACCAAATCAAACAAGAAGAATCGATTTAGATGCGATTTATATCAATCGGACCAAATTGCTTATTTTAAAATACATAAAATACACGTAATATTTAGAAGATATGTGATTAGATATTTTAAAGTTATGAAATTGTAAATTTAAGTTTTTTTTGGCTAAAACCCTAAACCCTAAAACCGAGACATCCAACTATTTTGGACATTGGTACTGGGTGCCAATTAGGTTTGTTCCTTTGATGTGGCTCTCTATATTTGTTTGTCAATTTACGTTGCTCCATGTTTGTTTCTTGCCTTCAGATTACTTGCCGTTTGTTGTAATACACATATGCCTTCTGTAGAAGAATTAGAATGCTTATTTCTTTTTTAATTTTGAACTCGATTAGCATTCACATTAACGAAATTGTGGATTCTATACGCACGCCATATGAGCAAATTGACGGAAATTCTAGTGCAGTCAGTCTTTAGTGTTAATGTCAACTCTTTTTGAAAAGTCCGTGCACTCTTGAATCCAAAAACATAATTTCGAGGGCAAATTAAACCTTGGATTCAAATATCAAGGGCTAACACTCCAATTTACTCAAAGAAGTTTCCTTAAAACGAAAAATTGTAAACGAAACTTGATGGACAAATTTTACTAGACATCCGCAGGGCATCAGATTTTTCTGCATCAAGGTCTCTAATTTCCCCAACTACAGTACATGTATCAAGACCTAATGAAGTTGATCACAGGCAAGAAAAAAGCTTCCAATAGTAATGATGGAGCAGGAGATCATGGAGGCTATTAACAAAAATTCCACTGTAACTGTTATTATACGTGGAGAGATTGGCCGGATGTGAAACGACCCAAGTTCCTCAGGTGGGTTAATTTTTTGGCGTTTATTCTTGTTCTAATTGTACATTAATTATTGTTACTAATTTTGCGATTGATTACTTTTCGTGCAGTTTCTTTATGAAGATGTGTTTGGCTTGAGCTACTCTTGTGCCCAGAGTGGTATGATCGGTGTTTACTCAACCTCGCCATGTTGCATTCTATGCGACTTCTAGGCGAGTAGCATTTGAGCTTGGACTACATTTAGGTGAAGATGTTGGCTTTCAACTTCGGCATGACAAAAGGATGAGTAAATGTTGCTCCATCAAATTCATGACTGACGGAATATTACTATGAGAACTCAAGGTTTTTTAGGCAAATGATATGGTTTAATCCATGTCATGATTTGAACGTTTTAGCATCAAATAACTAATGTCTTCGCTATTCAGGTTTATATTTATGCTGGATTATATGTGTTGATAATGTATTTTACACCAAAACAGGTATCATTATTGTCTTCTTTGTGTAATGTTTCTTCTTAACGTGCAGAGTGCTTTTTTGTTGAAGAAATACTCTGTTATAAATCTTGATGAAGTTCATGTTCGGAGCTATGTAAGACATATTCAAAAATCACAACAACAAGACATTAGGATCACGAATAAATCAAATCAATATAAAATAGATATCAACTAATTATATTAAACTTATCTGTAGAATACGAAAGACATGGTTATGAAGATGAAGCCATTGATCCTTGCGAACAAAGTAGAAGTAGTCTTCTACTTCCACTACCTCTCAATGAACTCTACTATCGAAATAGGCTTGTAGTTTTTGTGAGTTTCAGTTGGTATGGAAGTAGGGACTATTCTTAGGTTATATAGCTAGGGTTTCAACCAATTCCTCCCTATTATCGGAAAGGATATCAACCCAAATCATATTTAATCAATTAGAGTCCCATCATGACTCTTATTCCTTGTATTTACTTAATAAAGGTCCATAATTGATCGCATTTAATTAGGACTCCAATATGTTTATTTCCTTAAGGCACCGAGAGTCCTAGAGATTTCATTAACTTGATTGTCAAGTCAATTATTCCCTCATTTATTCTAGGCATAATTCATTGTCATTCACAAAATGGTTTTACAAGCTACACCACAAACATTCTTATGCGAATGCTTTCACGTGTTAGCATAGCGTGTCACCGCGTCAGGTGACCTCAAGTGTGGTTATTATTACTAAATGTTACATTAATCAAGGTTTATAACCCCATTCCTTGTACTCTCTTCCATGTGATTACAGAATGAATATAAAAACCAGCAAAAGTTGATGCGTTCGGGAAAAACTGTTAAGTCCCGGTGTTGATCCTAAAAACTACCAAGTTTACGTGGCACGCAGACCGAGTAATCAATAAGCTAACTATGTCCTTCGGTTATGTGTAGGGCGTGCCAACTCGTCGGTCGAGCTCAACCGGGGAGTAAAATGTGTTGATGTTACGTTGAGCGCGCTGCTGACTTCTTGATCTTGCGACTGCGGCCGAGGAAGGAACACGTCTCAATCTTCGGGTTCTAGAGCCTGAAGACAAGGCTGTTAGTCTTGCGAAGTTCAATGATCGTCGACGCCAGGTTCGGTCATAGTGATTATATTCGTAAGAGTATAAGCATGCCGAACTGGCACCAAACTATATGAACACAAGTACTCAAAAGAGATACATGTCTTAATGGTAAATGTGGTTCGACCGTCAGAATGCTGAACTCTAAAACTTACTTATGAATATCCAATCATAAAACAACTCGGCGTTCAATGCGCCAAGCCCAGTAATCTATAACACATCATTGCGGCGAAAAGGCTAATGAGATGACCTCTGCCAATAAGGATTCAAAAATCCTTCTCCACCAAGACTTGGATACATAACCAATCGGCCTCGACGTAGTACTGTTTATCCAAACTGAAGGTGCTCCGGATCGGCTGATTCTACGGCAATTGTGTTGGAAATGTGCCCTAAAACCAATCATATGATGATACTTTATGGACATTTCACATGTTAAACTAATCTAGTTTAATATTAAGGGCAAACATTATTGTTTGAGCCGTCTCATATAAATGTTATATGTTTAAACGATAAGTCCAAGGAATATGTGATTGGGAGAATGCGATCTAAAGAAGTTAGATTCATGAGACCATTCTTTCGTAGACACATCCTAAACGTTCCTGATCATAGGATTGCCAATTGGGCATTGACAGTCCGTTAAGATCAATACGTGCTATATCTTCTCTCAGGGAGAGTGACTAGTCTCGAGTCATTGGTGTGAATGACACCAAGACAAGCATGTAGGTGCTCAATAGAGAATGAGTTCACTGAACACGATCAACGAGGAGTTCTCATATTCATGTCACATGAGAACTCATGGTTGGGATAATGCAAAGTAGTCATTTGACCTGAGGCATCACAGCTGTCTTGTGGTTAGGTACTTGATCTTTGATTATGTCAAAGTCACTTTATCAGGGTGTCCACGGCATCGTCGGGGTTAAGCCACTTAGCCATGGAGGCAAGTGAATGCGCAACAAGGGATCTCTAACCTTCAAACTGTTTGAGGGAGAATACTCTATGATATGATTTAGAATCTCTAGCCAGAGTATGAATGAGATGTTGGAATGCGTTCCAGATCACATTCAAGGTAATCATATAAGTACAAGATTCACATTGGATAGTAGACATGAATAAACTATCAAACCAAACAATGTGGTCAAGAGTATTGTATTAGAGAAAGACCGTATTGCATTTGTAATCCTAAAACTGAATAGGTTCTCCACCTCTTCTGATTAGCTTGGGTAACCATGACATGCTGCTAGGCGTCAACCATGGTTTGTGGAAGCCCTAAACGTGTATAATCACTAACGGGAGAATTGAAAGTAAGTTTCAATTCACAATCGATTAGAAAGAGTTTTTAATCGCCCACTGCCTCGCTAAAAGGAACCTAATGGATCGTTCACCGAGTAAGGTAGAGTTTGAAGAAACAACGGAGATGAGTAAGAATAATTAAATGGTTTAATTATTTATCTAAGGCTAGGATTAATTAATATGTTAATTAATCAAACGAATAAGTTCGTTAAAGACCTCGGGTTAGTTTTGGGCCGCAAGGCCCAATGGGATTTGAATGTCAAGCCTATTAACTCAAGTTGTATGACAACTTGAATAAACAAAGGGCTTGAAAGCCCAATAAACCTATAGGCCGGCCATGTTAGAAGAATAGGGCTTTTGGTCCATTAGGTCACTTATTTGAAGGGACTATATAAAGGACTTTATAGCCTAAAATTCATTAATGGTTATTTTTGGGGAAAGGATGAGAACAAAAGCTCTCCTTTCTCTCTAAAATTTCGGCCACCTTGGAGGGATCATCTAGCAATCAAACTCCTCCAAGGTCACTCATTTCTTCTTCATTATGCCTTGGTGATGAATCATTAGAGGTTCTCAATTTTGGGAACTTGGAGAAACTTTTTTCATCCATCCAAATCCATGGATCTAAGATGCAAGGAACGAAGGCCCTCTCTTTGGGTGATTAGCCTTTGCTTATGCAAAGAGGAATCTACAAAGGTATTGATTTCTCAACTCACTTTGTTTTGAGTTGAGTCTTGGTTCACCTATCTACTAGGCTTTGAAGTTCATGGGTTAAGTTTTGTTTTTGAGTGCATATAAACATGATTCCGCCTTTTAATTGTTAATTGCATGTTGTTGATGTTGCTCAAATGAACTTGTTTTTCACAAATCTTCCTTCAAATTGTGCTGTTTATCCAAACTGAAGATGTGTTTGGCGGAAAAAGAAAATAAAAATCTCAAGGTTGTTGAGAGGTTTCGCATAGAGCGAGAGTTTGAGCAAGGCAGTTTGTGTGTTGAATTTGAGAGAGCTTTACCATTATCTGCCGCTTTATATTTATAGGGTTGGATATTTGCTTGATGACCACATTGTAAAACCCATGGGCCATGCTATAAACAACTTTGAACAATCTTCATCACCACAATACGCGGCATGCACGGTATCACCTCTTGATTTAGCCGCTCCCAAGCACACGTGGAGGATATTCCTTTGATCTCTTCTTGATAATTATAGGAAAAAAAACTCCATAATTATCTCTTTTTAATTGACCACATCTGACCAAACAATGATGGCTTTATCCCGTCATCATGTGATCCACGGTCAAAAGATCACAACGTCACTATCCTTGTGCTAATGGACTCTTCCCAATGTGTCCATAAGCTGAAGCCTACTCTTTTGTTCAGATGTCATCCTAGTCACATCACCTCATAATTTCACCTTTATCCCATGCATGGATTAATTGCACGAAACTAATCCAGTAGTAACTGTATTGCCGCGTGAATCTGCCAACACCAATATGCCGAATATCTCCAATTAATTCTAAACTACAGTTTAGAGATATTATTTGCATCACGTTTGTCTTGTCCAAGATAATTCATTATTTATCATAATTATTATGATAAAAATCATAATATATAATAAAATTATCTTCATTTTTATCCGATGGTGTGGAGCTATTCTTACTCAACGGTCTTAATTGTACGGATCTATAGTGTAGATTTGGGTCCAAACACCCGGAGATCAGATTTTTCCATTAAAGCTTGTGTTGATGAGTGCTACGTTGCTAGTGGAAGACTTCGTCAGAACTGTTTTGCTACCCTCCTATCGTAGAAGTTGAAACCAGACAATTTAAGGTAACCGTTCCCTTAGAAATGAGAACTGATACAGAAAAGCCTTATGTTAAACAAGCATATCAAAGGTCTTGAAAATTCACAAGAGGCTGCCACCTGGGGGAATACTTGTCGTTGTCACCGGGCAGCGAGTAGGGTCCTTGTGTCGAAAGCTACGCAGAGCTTCGAAACTGATTATGAAAAGATCACTTTCTGTTGAGGGAACAAATATTGAAACGGATATTTGTGAAGCATTTGAAGAAGATCAGTGCGAGACAGACGAGGATGATGAGTTGGGGTTTTATTCGTATGATTCAGATACGAAGAGTGAGCTAGAAAATTATGGTGAGGAAGACGATTATAGGGATGCATTGTGCCAAGATACTGATGATCTGGAGGCTTATTCTAACCAATCCAATCCTAGCATGGGGAAAACTGGGGCACTGCATGTTCTCCCTCCTTACGCTAGGCTGCCTCCAGAAGAGCAATCTCGTGTAGTTGTGGCCACTAATGTGGCTGAAACCTCCTTATAGATGGGATAAAGTAGGTTGTCGATACAGGAAAAGATAAAAGTGAAGGACTACAATTCGTCAAATGGCACATGGAAACATATTAAGTACAGTGGATCGGTAAGGCATCAGCTGACTAACATAAAGGAAGGGCTGGAAGAACTGGGCTTGGCTACTGTTACCTCCTTGTATTTTCCCGCGGTGTATTGTAAACAAATACCTTGACTTTTCCTTACCAAAAATATCCAAAGTCCCTGTTGATGGTGTTGTCCTTCTTCTCAAGTCTATATGGATATTCATAAGGTAGATCCAAAAACATGTCTAATTATATGGACAAAAATTTTAGATATGGATTGCTTTTATACTGATGTAGCCCTTACAAATATGGAGAGAAATCAGTGCACTGCTCGACTTCAGCAGGATTCCTATACCTTTCATTCTGAAGGTAACGATTCATTTCTGTTAGAAAAATTAAACCCTCGGATGAGATTTAAGCAGATTTTGAGTATCTGGTTCGTCCTTGTAGGCTCGACCAATAGACTCACTACAATATCCCTAAAGAGACGAATGCGATCTCCAGTTGGCTTTCTGCAAGCGGCTTGACGTGCATCGCTCGTAAATCTGATAGTTTCTGCCTGCAGATGCTCATACTAAAGAGTGAGAGAAGAATGCAGCAACAGAGTAATTGCAAGTTTGCAACTCAGGTAAATCCCTGCTTGGAATTATATGAAGAGAAAACGTAAAAAGTACGAAACTTGTTTGTCAAGTCATTTGGCTACAAAGGCAACCATTTCATAATTTTCACCTGCTTACTGCTAAGCAAGTCTCCATTGCTAATGCTACCTTTCTAGTTTGTTTTCACATCCAAGGTGCTTAAAACTTTCTTTTAATAGCTAGTTGTGGTTTCGTTGTTTAATCATTGGGTTGTATTTCTGAAAGAACTTTTCTTTTACGATTGTATTAGACTTCTATGAGGTTTATGTGAGATAATGGGTCGTAGGCGCCCATCGTTCACGGATCGTGCCTCGCAAAAAAGGGACTTTGCCTAAAGGAATTAGATCCTCTTCTGATCTTGTCACTGGGGATCCCGGGGATCAGTTAATACCAACCGTCCATTAAAAATTATGTGGCCACTTTTTCTTTTTTATATTTTCAACGGTAAGACAGTTTTGTTTTGCGTGAAAAATATAAAAAAGAAATAATAATACTATTTTTACCATGTTTTTGTACCACAATTGTATACCACCTTAGGAGGTATTTGATGTGGATAGTCACATCATCTAAATTAATTAGCATTTAATTTCAAAATGTTAATCAATAATTAATAAAAAGATTGTTAATTAAATGATGATTGTAGTATACGAGGGGTCTCCTTCTTCCTTCCCCTTTCCATTCTCCTTCTTTTTCCTTCCCTTTCTTTTTCACGCCAGTTTTTTTTTATTGATTTCTGTTGATTTTCATGATTATGGTCAAGCTTTATAGAATTTACTCATATATCACAATCACCATTGATTTCTATCCCCAGACTCATGCCCCGCAGCCCCAATCCTCATTCCTCTTCAAGTATTTCGGTCTCCAATCTTCATTGGTACTCCATGGTTATTCATCTAGTGATTTTTATTTTTTCTTTTCAAAATATGTTTTTGTGGTTTAAAAGAAGGATTTCATCTGATTATTTCATTAAGTAACGCCTATTAGCTTTCATGCGAATTAGGAGTCAAAATCAAGTTTGTCTATCGGATTAGGGTTCATACCCAATTAAGTTACTAACGCCAGAGGGAGATCTTGAAGTCTGCACTTTTCCTTATTTAAGTGTTTTAATTAATAAGAAAATTGAAATTAAATGATATAACTTGTCCAACTTATCTACCACCTAAGATGATAAAGAAATGTGGTACAAAATTGTGGTAAGAATAACATTACTCAAAAGAAAAAACTGTGGCCACACAATTTTTGATGAATGGTTGGTATTAATTGATCCCCGGAATCCCCAGTAAGGAAATCCGGAGAGGATCTAAGTCCTTGCCTAAATTGAAATCCATTGCTTAAATTTGCTTTTGTTTAATGTTTAACATTATTTTATAGGATTATCGGATTCACCAAATTATTGAACTTACCTTTGGTCTTCTTCAATCTTCTGGCTCCATGACGCTATATGGAAATTAGATAATTTTTTCGGGGTATCCGAAACACCCTTAACTAGTGTTATTATTTTATTCTAATCATAACTTAATATGTATGTGTATGTATATTTTATTAATATATTGTAGAATTGAAAATACTAATCATGTCGTTCACTTATACGATAACATCTCACATCGTTGTGTTTTAAATTTTTTACAAAAAGGTAAAAAGTGAAACTTACAATCTTTAAACTCTGACGAATTTCTGCATTTCATAATACATGCAAGGTTTCTAACCGTTCTCTAAGTCTTAACTGTACATGCAATAAGGAAAGCATGAGTTCTAATTGCTTCACTAAATACACTCTCAAACTACATAAAGATGACATTCGATCTTCAGTATGCTTAATTAATACGTTAGATCTAATAAAGCAGTTAAGATCAGCGAGATGAACTGCACATATTAGAAGCTAACGTATTATGCCGAACAATATGAAAATCCTCCCGAAGACGTTGATCATCGGGTACCTGTTACATGTAAATCTCTCTCCGCATCTAAACTCGTGGGCCTACTTCAGCTGTATCGACCTGCAGCCATCCACTTTTGCAACATTAACTCTCTATAAAACTTGTCAATAAATTCCTGGGCTGCCTTGTCCACGTGGTAATCCTCCTCCTCATCACCACTCAACGGAAACAAAGGCTCCCACTCCCTTATCCTCACCCGCGCCCGCCTGACCATTGGCAGCGGCTCGACCACGTCACTGCAACGAGAATTCACTTTCCTCACCCCGTGAACCGTCGCCAATGCATCCTCGCACATCATCGGCACGTAAGCTCCCCTCCGCGAATGCTGCCATACATACCGGCCCTTGTACGTCTTGCCGGATTGACACGGAGGAGTGTAGGATGACCTGCGTGGCGGGCTGCTGGTGCAGCTGAACTCGTACTCCAACGGGTACACGAACGACGTCCCGTGCACGTCGTGCGACTTGCAGCTAAGCGCAGTTTGGTGACGGACCATGAAATCATTGAAAGACTTGCCTAAGATCTTCCCATGTTTCATCATCGTCAACTTTTTCTTGGACACACCCTTTTGTAAGGTGAACAAAACTAGACGTACCATGTTGACTAATTTCTTGGCTATGAACGGTGTATTTGTAGGTTCCATATTTTAGGTTTTGGGGAATAAGGAATTATTCAGAGGCTAAAAAACTGGGAGGCAGAGATAGATCATAGAGGTTATGAGTTCAATGAGAGAATGATGAAGATAGGAATATATTTAAAGGCCAAACAGAGTAGGATGGGGCCCTAATATATTTATTTTTTATATCTGTATTGGGTTTTTGGGGACTAAAGTCTAAAGAGTGTATTTTTCATATTTTTCTATTAATGTTGATAAGTGTAACATAATATGCGTAATCATTGCCTTTTGTTTTGTGCTGTTCTTTTTCTTTTTCTAATTAGGTGTTTTTTCTTTGTTAATTTGCATAAGTTGTCCCTACAAAACTAGTGCGTTTGAACTTTTAATTAAAATTTTAATTTCTCAAATCAATTAACTGCCATCCATTTTAATTGCCACCATTGATTTCAATCTTGAGTTGTATGTGCCACGTTATTCAGTGCTCGAATTTGATGCATATAGTTTTATCCATACATTTTTTTAATATGCATCAAATTCGAGCACTGAATAACGTGACACGTACATCATTAATGAAATTCAACTTGAATTAAAGTATAAATTTGAATGGTACCGCATCATTTGGTGTACAAGTTAGCGTACCTAGCATTATTTTTACCTATATTAAGGAATGCGTTTGTAAATTTGTCAGTTTTATGTGTCTCAAAAACATCATTCAAAAACCAATATTATAGTACAGGGAAGTGAAATAAGGAAAAATAAAGCTAAGTTCATATTAATAATGGACTAATTATAGTGGGGGATAAAGGAGTAGAAAGTGAAAAATGAATGGCAATATGTGGAAAGCTTTAGTTAGGTGTAAGCCTTCCCCTTAGCCCTACATTATCCTGTACTTTCAAATTTATATACCAAACTGTTAAGGAAATCAAAGTCTTTGAATTAGTTTATTTACGTATTGGATTTGATCATGATGAAAGCTAACATGTAGGATCCTATGTCTTTTATTTGTTTAATCCCCGGTGCACTTAAAGTCGAAGAAGTTGGCATTTTATTCATCTTTGGAGGGTTGGGAAGGAATGGCAAAGTGGCAAACCACATTTTGTGGATTTTGGCGTGGTTGAACATTTGACATGGGACCATAGTGTACTTTCGAGAAATAACCATTTGTAAAATGCAATTGGGTTATCACAACAAATTAGTCATAATTAGATATCGCTACTCACAACAAGATTTATTCTCATAACATAGCTACGTCACCATAATGTTCAATCACAACTAAGAATTGTACTCATTATTCATATATATATATATATATATTATATTTCTGTGTGAGTCGGATCTAAGACCTATGTTTGAAAATAGAGACACAACTACCAGCAGACTACCGCCACACTACTGCATGGTGCTACCAAGTTACTTGTTATTATAATACGAGAGAATCCATATCTTAGATTTAGAATATAGTAGATATATTTGTTCTATGAGAGTATTTTTTGCTCACCACCATTTAGTGTGGTGTATGCTCACCACTTTATTTATAATCGTTAGATGAGTTTAAATTTCGAGATTCGTGTAATGGATAGGAACAAATCTTAAAATTCAAACTCATCTAATAGTGATAAATAGGGTGGTGAGTATATATCACACTAAATGATGGTGAGCAAAAATGCACTCATGTTCTATAACGCGCTACTATGTGTGGTTACACCAAAAAAAGTACTCATTACAAAGGGCCATTAAATTTTCTTTTTGTTCAGTGAATGAAAATGACCATCTTATTAAATAACCCTAATTGTGTTAGGTTGGCAATGGCAGTCGTATTTACATATATTTTTTGTTAGGTGTGGAATTTTATTTCAATGACTTGTATAGATGTAGATCATATATACCAACTTATTAATTCTACTAGTAAAGCATCAACCCCCATCAGCAATTGGTATTGGGGTAGCTATAACTTAGATGCCGACTGTTCAGGTAAGAAGGTACCTCAGATATTCTATAGGCAGCAACAATATTTATATCTGAAGCAAAGAAGAACGTCATCCAAATAGTTCAAATATGAAAGTTCTGAGATTCTAACCAATGTATATGATTATTTGAAGAAGAATCACATTCTTTCTCTTCGTATAAGTTTTTGATCTGATAAATAAAACGAACGATCCTTTTACACAAAAGATTCGACCTTCTTTTTTATTGAAAGATTCGAACTAATTCTCTGTCAAATTTTTAAGGGACGAGAAAAAGAAAAAGCTTGCTATTTAAATAATGGGACAAACTACTTTCATATTAGAAATAAATTCTGGAGTTTAGTTTTTGGATAATCTTGAGTACTCTTGTTATTTCTAGAGTGTTCGGCGTTTGTCTTAAAAATGTATGAAACTTTAACAAACAACAAGTTAACGCTTGCATCGTTTACAGACCAGACATGGGGTGAATAAAGTCTGAAAGTATGTATACAATATAGTCATATACGTATCGTGAAACAATTTTGTTATTATTCCTCATTATACTCATAATTCACATGATACAGAAATTGCTCCAACATAGTTTTGACTAAGATGGTAAGGACAATACAATAAGCCGCAGGTAAAGTATAATCTTGTCACTTTTTCTCATCAATTTCGTGTGCATCCAATTCTATTATTATTTCGTATAAAAAATAAAATAAAAAAGTTTCTATTATGATTTCTGACAAAAAAAAAAAGTCTATTATATATGATTACTTGGTTCTAACTTCTAAGTGGTTCTAAGTTCAATTTTGAAGTTGAATTCAAAACATTGTTTGGTTTAATATACTCAAATATCTCTTTCATCTCACTTTATGTGCGTGATTAAGACAAAGAAGCAATTAAGATATACACTTTAATATAAAAGTTTTCTCCCGGTTTCTACTTAAAAAAAAAAGAAGAGAGAGATCGTGAGTCCAAATCTCACGCACAGAGATCAAATCAAATGGAGGGAGACTCACATCCAAAGTGGGAAGCCAAGGTTCCTGCAACCCTAAAAAAAGTTCACAGTGGACCAAATAAAGCCTCTCTTCAAAAACTTCTTTAATTTCCACAAGTGGTTTCCAACCCCAGCCACTTGCTAGGGGATCCACGGGACCAACGGTGAGCCCGGCTGCATCAGATACCGCTCTGGCTCTTCAATCCCATCCAAGGGTGGTGAGAAGTCCGTCAGCTGGTCCAAGGAACGATTGATAGCCGTTGACGATGCTGACCAGAGTCTGAGCTACGAGATCGTGGAAAGTAACATTGGGTTCCAGTCGTATGTATCGACGGTCAGAGTTGTTCCGCGAGGGGATATCGACGGTCGAGATGGGTGCGTGAACTAGTGGTCCATGACAGGTAGATCCTGTGGAAGTGTGGGTTTTTGATGATTTGGTGTTAAAATATGAGCTGGGGTTGCAGAAAATGTCCGTGTTTTGTTAGAAAATTCAGAGCTACAAATATTAATAAGAATTTGTGGCCATGTTTTGTTTTGTTAATAGTTACGATTAGGAATACCAAATTTTTAAACTAAATTTTGTAAACCAAATGATATAAATATTGATGGTTGCATTATTATTTCAATGTTGATTAACATGTCATTTGGTTTTAAAATATGGTCTCTCTAGCATATCCTTTACAAATTGACAAGTTTTGTGCCTGGGAGTCGAACCCGGATGTGTATGCTCAATCCTCTTTAAGTTTTGTGGAATATGTTGATAATATTAATAGGAGAACTACAGCAAAACTATTTAAAATAACAAAAACTAAACAAAAGATGTTTTCCGCTGTCGGGAGTCAAACCCGGGTTATATAAGCCCAATCCAGTTAATTGTGCTACAGCGGAATGAGATGCTACAAGGGAAATTTGAAATTTTTTAAACTAATAAAATAAGGGAAATGTTAAGGAGATTTTCTTAAAATGAGACTTTTTATGTACTCTCCATCATTTTATGTTTATGGCATAAAGTTTTATAATGTTGGCATCGAAATTCTACGAAAAATATGAGGTGACGGAAAGTCTACGAAGAATCTCACTTTTGAGATAAAATAATTGTTGCAATTTATGATAAAAATAAAAAATAAAAAAAAACTTTTCAAAGAAAGGGAAGTCAGAACTAGATAAACTTTATAGGCCATTATGGTCCATGACTGACATCATTAATATTGTCCCAATTTAATCACCTATTATTATATGTTGCATTTTGTTGGGCCTTAGAAATCTCACTTACAAGCCCAATCATATCTCAAAGCCAAATCGTCGTGGAAGCGTTACAACCCAAGCTTAAATCCATGCATAAAGTGCGAGAGGTTCATAGTGTGTATCACACACGCAAATCACGCATGTTTATCAACACGTTTAAATGGGCCCAAGCCACAATAACGGGGCTTGCCGAGTGGTTCATAGTGTGTATGGTTGCGGAAGTTCAGTGGACCTACATGGAACTAGAATTAGGGCTGGGCACGGGCCGGGCCGGGGATTACATTTTTTAATATTAGAACCGGACATTACCCTGCCCGGTTGAAGCGGGTAGGTTCGGGCCGGGTCCACGGGTCCCTTTTTTTTTTCTTTTTTTTTTTTGGTTGTTTGAAAAAAAAAAAAATTGTAATCTGCACAAAACTGCACAGATTGCAAACTGCACAGATTTGCACAGATTGCAAACTGCACAGTTTTTCTCATGTACTTCAAATTTCAAAATTCAAATCGTGTGCAGGGCCTGCAGGCCAGTAACATGCAGCAACATGCATGCACTCACCATTCATGACATTTTACCAAAATGTTCTCCATATTGTGCATGTTAATTAATCTAAAAATTTAAGAAGTTTTAAGCTTTGACAGTGTAACTTGGTCCCTACATATGAATGCCACAGAAAGTACCAGATGTTGATAGTTGGTATTAGTACATACAAGCTCATATCAACTATTGCAACAACACTTTTCATTCCTTTCAAGAACTGAAAAGAACAGAGAGATAAGAAAATTACTGTAATCAAATTCGTTGATGTCCATAAACCTACTACAGCTGCAAACCCCAAAGCAACAAGAGCTGGCCGATCTTCAGAATTATCCCACTGTTTCAAATCAAAGCGAGAGGAAGAAAATAGTAAGCCTGATATTTAAAAAAAAAAAAAAAAGATCAAAATTAACTTGTCAATCTGTCGAATGAAGAAGAAAGAAAATATTGCATGTATTTCTTCATTCCATAGAATGACAAATTCTTAGGACCAAAAGTTGGCTAAAAAACAAAATCGTGTGTTATCCATATCACAGCCCATTCTCATAGCTAAGAAAAATGCATGCTTTTTCGAAATTTACTGAAGGGGGAATTCATAAACTTTGCACACAATTGAAAACCATTAGAGGAATCAAATGAAGAAAGGAAATATTGCCTACAGATTCAGGCTAGCCAAAGCATAACGTGAAACCCTCTATAGTTCTTTATGTACTGAGCACAAATCATAAATATAAAAATTTGATCATGAAAGCGCAGCGGGAAAGAGCTTACCACATTCTGAACAGATTTCACAATAGATGTTGAAGACTCGGAGCTTTCCCCAGTAGCCTTCAACACAACAGCAACACGATTCTGTCTCTCTGAAAAGTCAGAAAATTACGCAACTTAAAATCTACAAATTTTCTGCAAATTTAAATACCAAAGTATTTAACCAAACAACTTAAAATCTACAAACAACTTAAATTTCTGCAAATTTAACCAAACAACTTAAAATCTACAATCTATAAGCAGATCCATAAAATTCAAAACCAATAAACAAGTTTTTGCTAGTAATCAAATTGCAGCAATCCATATAATCAATCGAAAAGCTTATGCAATCATAGCCCCAAAAACCCTAAATTCCCAAATCAGAAACCCTAATTCATAAATTACCTAGGAATTTGCAGGATGATGGTAGTGTTCTCGACGGCGAGGTTGGTGTCGACCGTGTGGTGGTGGTCGGAACTCGCGATTGGGGAGGATTGATGTAATGTCGACAGACACAGTCGAGGTCGACAGTCACTGACTCACTATGAGTCTCAAGGAGTCGAGTCGAGTCGAGTCAGTAGGGGTGGAGTGGAGAATCGATGGAAAAAGATGGGAGCGCGAGCGATCGAGGTCTGACTCTGAGACGAGAGAGTAGAGAGGAGAGGAGATTTGGGGAGTGGGGGAAGGGAACTGTCGAGGTCTGTCTGACTGTCTGAGACTGAGAGTCTGATCTGAGAGACTCTTGATCTTGAGTGCGATCGTGGTTTTAATCAACGGATCAGATTAAATCTTAAATTTTGGAAGGTGGAAACGGTTCGGGTCGGGGACCCGTTTCCTCAGTAATTACGACCCGTCCCGCCCCGCAAATAACATGGATCCGCCCCGCCCTGCCCCGTTTCAGATTTTTAAAAATAAGACCCGCCCCGTACCTGCCCCGATCCACTTGGACTCGCCCCTAACCGCGGGTCCAGGACCCGTTTGCCTAGCCCTAACTAGAATTGTAGAAGGCTTTAGGCTGCTTAGGAGCACCAAAAGTCCAAGCACATGAATTTAGCTTCATGTGCGAAGGCTTGAGAGAAAATAGTTTTATCCTTACACTTTCCCTAACAAACCAACTAGGATACTTAGGAAACAATTAAAACTCAAAGCCGAGCTAACCAAATAAAAACTCGAATCACATGTTTACCTGGAGTTACGCAAACTTTTATTGTGTAGAAAATAGGCTTTCCCTTCCAAGATCACACAGGAAAAAGAAGAGAGAAAGTATGGAGAGGCATTACCAAAAATAGAGTCATGATGTGGGGCTTGGTTCAAGGAAGAAGAAACTTTGGGCAGAGTGCTCAAACAAGCTTCACGTGACTCGTAGCCTCTACAACATTATACCAAAAGGAAACCTATAATTGCAGCAATGAAAAAAAAAATAAAGGGAAGACTTAGTTGATTTCGAATACGAGAAGAACCCAAGAGATTCCCCAACTAAAGTCTGAAAAGATCCCTACTTCAATAAATATAAGACATCAGTACGCTATAAATGGGATAACCACACGAGGGGAGAAGAACGAAAAGTCAAGAATCCACCAAGCAGAGCAAGCTTTCTCTAAGTGCAGACAGTGACGAAAGCTAGGAACTATCGGGGGGACGGACGAATGTAAAAAAGTGCAAGGTTCAAAAGCATATCAACAAGCAAATCCTTTTAAATAGTAAACAATATTAACGTCGTCTATAATTTATCAATGCAAACAAGTTACAATTGTTCCCAGTATTTGTTGGTTTAACAAATATTCTTCAAAACAGCCTGAACTAGCAAGGGAAACATTCAACTACCGGAGGAAGCACTTTGTCACCTAGGAAAACACTTCCTCATCGAGGAAAGCACTTCGTCACCGACGGAAACATTTGACTACCAATGGAAGCATTCACAATCACTGAAAGAGCTTCCATTGCTACCGGAAGAGCTTCCACAATCATGGGAAGAACTTCAACTACCGCGAAAGCACCTCATTACCACTAAAAGCACTCAACATAACACTAGACCATGCACCCATGAACTGCTGGAAGAACAGCAAAGCATTCCCTAACACTATGTTTGGGTGAAGAAATTTAAGATTACTAAGGAATTTAAAAATGACGGAAATTGAAATGATGAGATTTTATTTTCTAGAATTTATAAATTTTCTTGTTTGGTTAACTAAAAGAACAATGAAATTGAATACGAAATTTGTTATTTTTAAACTCTTAATCATAGAAATTGAGAAATGATACCTATTTACATGGAATTTGAACTTGGGATTTGGAGGTCCCAATTTCTAAGTTTTTTTTCCATGCGGAAATTCTAAATTTCTATGTTTATAAATCCAAACAAGAGAATTGGTGCCTGTCAATTTATAAATTCTAACTTTTACCAAAACTCCATGTTTATTTCTCTCATCCAAACATAGTGTAAGACTTGCTTTTCCTTTGGGATGCTTTGAGCTTAGTACTCGCTAACTTATAAACAGAGGACATTAAGGTTTTGGCTCGTCTCTTTATGACACAAGCCCATCAAAGCTTTTGGCACAAACACCCCCCCTCTTAAAAAATGGTTTTATCACCTAAAAGTCTCGGTGATATGTTATGAGTAGAATCTCTCATGTATTAATTGTATATTTTTTTTTCACATGACCGATGCAAAATCTTATTTTCCAACAAAACTTAAGACCTCAAATTGTGAGCTAAATATAATTAATCAACTAAACTACGAGCCCTCGCACAATATTTTATATATTATTTCCATATGTATAATTAAATTGTTCGAGCTTGAGTTTATAACAATTTTTTTTTAACTAGAGTGCATTATTAGAATTCGTTTTAAACTCAAAACCTTTGACTCACTGTAGAAGGTGTTAGACCATCTCCAAACCCTTGGAGTAAAATCTAAAATTTTTAGTCTAGAAAATTTAGGTTTTAACCCAGAAATAGTTT